CAATTTCCTCTATTTGGAACTAAACATTTAGATTCACTAGATTGAATGGAAGTAGTAGACATGTTTGATAGAAAGGAGCATAATACAGATGAAGGAAAGGAAAAAATTGTAAAGATCAAATCAGGTATGAACAATTTCAGAACAAATTTTACTTGAGATCATTTACAAAACTTCTACAACTTAAAAATATAAGATATGGTCCGATCAAGCACGAGAGTGTTTGCGTACCTACACTAAGTTTTAATAACTTTTTAAGCTTAAAGAACAACACTTTAAGCTATGGGATTTGATCCAGTAGGTCAACAAATTTAACGGGAATTACTATGGTATTAACCGATAGAAACTTTAATACTTCATTCTTTGAGGTAGCAGGTGGTGGTGACCCTATATTATACCAACATCTTTTCTCAAGACTAGTATTTGAAGAGAATTTGATATTATCAACATTATTTATATTTCCTAGCTCTAATCAATTAATCTTTAAAAGATATATATCTAATTCTAATTTAAACAATAAGTTTGATTTTTCTGCATTTTATAAGAAATACAATACTCATTTGCCAAACAATAAAATTCCTTCAGAAAACTTTTTAACTTGATTAATAGGTTTCGTTGAAGGAGAAGGTTCTTTTATAGTAAACAATAGAGGAGATTTGGCATTTGTTATTACACAAGCTACAATCGATAAACAAGTTTTAGAGTTTATACAAGAAATTCTTGGATTTGGTAAAGTTATACCTCAATCAGCTATAACTAGTAGATATGTAACACAAAACAAGAAAGAAATAGATATTATAGTCAGTTTATTTAATGGTAATATTGTTTTACCAAAGATACAAGAAACATTTGATCTTTTCGTTAAAGGGTTTAATAAATGAGTTGCTAAAGGTAAAATACTACTAGAACCTGTAGTAATTAAGAATAGATTTATTTTACCTACTTTAAATGATGCATGGTTTGCAGGATTTACTGACGGAGAAGGTTGTTTTACTTGTTCAATT